TTTTGAGATTGAGAGCTTGACTATCGGGCGTGTTTATCTGACTGCCATTGATCCACTGGTACGGAACCAGAGAAACTGGATCAAAATCACCCACCCTGATTCTAAGGTATAAGCTCCTCCAAACAGCCCTCTGTATGGTCTCTAACTGAACGAGATTGTCTTTGAGGGCTACGGGCAAGTACTTGATGTACGTAGTGTCACCGAGATCGAGATCAGTGCTGGCATTCATGCACAGAGCAGCTGCCTGCTCGTATGACGAGGCAAAGTGATGGTCGCTGTACACCTGCTCAATTGCCTCGTTGTCTGACACCACCGATATGTTCGGGGCTCCAAACTGCTCACGAAGGACAGTCTGAAGCAGGAAGGGGTTTGCTGCATCCGGCGCCCCGTCTTCCTCCTTCTCACATCTCATTCCGCTAAGAGCCGGCATGATCTGCATAGCCTTGCCTCCTATAACCTGCGACTTGAACGCCGCCAGGTACGTATCGTACAGATCGTGGAGTGTCGTGTTGGCGGTGAACCGGTTTCGGATATTATCCGGGCCGCTGTGCACCGAGAAATGCTTGGGAGATGCGGCAATCTTTACGTACGTCGGATCGCTTCCCTCCTGTAGCCCCTTAGTATAGGCAACACCTATCTGAGAGAGTAGGTAGGGGTCTTCGCCAAAGGTCTCCTGGGCTCGCCCCCAGCGCGAGTCACGGAGGAGGTTGACGACTGGAGAGTAACAGTTGAGGCCGGTTGCTTCCTGACTGGCTCCATTGTAGTGCGTCATTATCTCGTTGTGGAGGGCTCTCCCCTCTGTGGAAGTCACCTGGCCAGCCTTGAGCACAAGGTCTTTGTCAAATGTGGCGGCCATCCCTATGGGGGCAGGGAAGACGGTCCAGGTATAGCCGAGCCAGTCCGGGCCCCCGGACAAAGTCCATCCGTGGGCGCAGTTGGACCTCCAGTTGTAGGCATTGATCCCCAGCCTGGAAATGGCCGGAGCTAAGTAAAAGGTCTGGGATATCAGCTCGTCCACGGTGAGTCTGGACACCAGGTCCGTGGCTCTGGTCTCGGGGGTCAGTTTTGGGTCGCAGAACGGGTAGCTGGCCTGGGGAAGACTCTGGCAGTCCACTGAGGGAATCGGGAACCTGGCAATAGCCTGTGCAAAGAGGCTAGCTCCCAGAACTAGAACTACGGAGTAGAAGAACATCGTCATCCTGGCTCTCCCACTCTAGTCCCACACTGCACAACAAACGGCGCGGCGCTGCGCTAGCTATGCACTGCACACACGCATGCGCAACCAAAACACCGCACAAGCGTCATGATGATAACTCTTAGCTACACAGAGATGAGAACAGTGTCCATACTTTCTCACAGCCGTGATTTGGTGGAGCAAGTAGTGTTGAGGTAGCTGGTAATGATTTGTACACTGGGGACAGTAACACACCTGTACATGTACTTTTTAGGGATATCGCAAGAAGAAACAATACATTGCTGCACAAGATACGTCAGTAATGTTTTACCCATTATTTGAATCCATCTTGAAATTTATGAAGGCCCATTGAAAGAGACGGTAGAGGACTTCTGGAGGATGGTGTGTCAGTACAAGGTTGAAGCTATAGTCATGTTGACTAGATGTGTGGAGATGGGGAAAGTAAGTAAGCCACATCAACTATCTGAACCACCATCCACCACCCACCATTTCATTATGTACGAACCATATTATGCGGCAGTTAGCTACATGCCTTTCCCCTCCCACTCAGTGATGGGGTAGTTCGGAGTGGGACATTCCTGGTCATCCACTCTCAGTTGGAACGTCTGAAGACAGAAGGTGTGGTGGATGTCTTCCAGGCCATCAAGTCTGCTCGCATACACAGACCTGGAGTCATACCCAACACTGTAGGTCTATGACTGGTTTGTGTATATTACCATGAGAGTGGCTTTGCTTCTTATGTCCAAGGATCACTATGTCTTCTGCGAGATACGTTGATGATATGGATATCTACGCCAACTTCAAGGCACTCGTGTAGGATTCATCGCCAAAGAAGCTAATGACATCAGAAAAAAGTAGAAATCATTTTAGTAGTGTATTTAGCTGGTATCTACCTCACATTTTGAGCACTAGTAGAAAGTTTTTTCCCACCAATTAATAATTATTATAGTACACTCTCTATGCCATCATGTAAGGAGTGTAGTAATCACCAATCAGCCTGTGTTGCTCCATCTCACGACAGGCAGTGTGAAAGAATGGTGCGAACGTGTGTAAATGAAATCAATAACCAATTATAACATGGCTGTGGATTCCCACAGCTGTACATTAAATTTACAGTCTCGTATGAATTATATTTTAAGTGGTATCCACTGTAGTAATGTGAGGTGTTTTCAACAGGCAAGACAAGAAGGTGCTCCTGGGCATTCCTTCACGTTTGTCACAGAGCCTTCGATGACGAAGGGAGCAGTCAGTCTATTGTCGGCACCGTCAGTCACCACGACAGTGTACGACCCCGGGAACACATAGTGTTCACCATCCCTGTCCACCAGTGACAGCAGGTAGGCATTCACCTCGAAGCTCCCCGTGTAGTTTCCAGCCACTGGCAAACTACTGACTCGCTCAAAACCAACCAACTGAATATTGGGGATAAACGGCATTCCCGACAGTCTCGGAGGCTCGACATAGATCTGGATTACGTCATCTCCTGCAACATCCCCAACATTCTGAACAGACACCTTTACACTCAGTGTACTGCACACCGTTATCGTGCTAGCAGACAAAACCAGTCCGGAATACTTGAAGGTCGTGTAGGAGAGCCCGTAGCCGAATGGAAACAGAGGTTTTCCCGTGTAGTAGCGATGGGTCCTTCCAGGAGGTGTGGTCATGTTATAGTCGGTAGCAACAGGGAGCTGGGTGGTGTCATGTAGCACAGTGTAGGGTAGCCTTCCTCCAGGGTTGTATTCCCCAAATAGAACATCAGAAACCGCATTTCCCCCCAAGGGCCCGGGGTAGAAAGCCTCAAGGATGGCCAGAACTCCACTGTTGGCGTAAAGAGTCGGGATACTGACGGGGCCTCCGTTTATGAGTACCAGAATGACTCGTGGATTGACGGCTATAATCTCCTCTACTAGTGCAGTTTGGCAGCCGGGGAGAGCTAGGTTGTCGACCGGTTGCGAGTCGCACGTCGTGTTTACCCTGTCGTGTCCCTCGCCCTCGACCGTCCCGTCTAGTCCCATCACTGCAATCACAAAGTCAGCATCAGCTGCAACAGCAAGCGCTTGACTGAAGCTACTCTTGTTAGCACAGGTCACATCCGGACATCCCGGGGCGTATTCCACTGGCACGCCGGTGCTTTTTATGCCTTCGTAGACGGTTGTTATGAACGCAGGAATGCCTTGGTAGTTTGAAAGTAAGGTGGTTGAGGCGTTAGCATTTGGCCCGATCACAGCCAACTTTTCGATGCTGAAGATCTTCAGTGGTAGTGTTCCGGTGTTCTTGAGAAGAACGATAGATTCAGCAGTCATTTTGAGATTGAGAGCTTGACTATCGGGCGTGTTTATCTGACTGGCATTGATCCACTGGTACGGAACCAGTGGAACTGGATCAAAATCGCCCACCCTGATTCTAAGGTATAAGCTCCTCCAAACAGCCCTCTGTATGGTCTCTAACTGAACGAGATTGTCTTTGAGGGCTACGGGCAAGTACTTGATGTACGTAGTGTCACCGAGATCAAGATCAGTGCTGGCATTCATGCACAGAGCAGCTGCCTGCTCGTATGACGAGGCAAAGTGATGGTCGCTGTACACCTGCTCAATTGCCTCGTTGTCTGACACCACCGATATGTTCGGGGCTCC